TTTTATTTAATATATAAATAAAATAAATGTACACGTATGTAAATAAAATAAACAAGATCATATATGCTAAACAAAAAATATCAAAAATGAGGTTAAAAGGTTTCGATTGTATATTTCTTTACCGTTAATCAAAGATTGCTATAATAGAAGAAACGGAAATTTCTATAGTTTGAACCTACTTCTTCTTTGTATATTATATTCACGGATTTATGAATACTGTAATATGTAAATTCATTTGAAATAAATACAATTATATTCTACGTTTTCATTATAGGACCCGCTATATGGCGCATGTTGAATGGTACACTTCCCCGTAATTCAATGTTGATGGGTTTAAACACATACTTTAATACTCGGTAAGAGATATTGTAATAAAATAACTTCATATCCCATAGTATATATACAAGAAAAAGAATACGTAATATAGAAATAGTAATACATAATGCACTTACAGAAGTGATGCTATTGATAAATTGTGCCAAATAATGAAAAAAAATATTATGCATTCTATATATAATTCTGTTCCTTAATTTAATTATCTACATATTCTTTTATTATTATGTTACAGTATTGAAATTGTCATTTTTAATAATTTGAAATTCATAATAGAATATTTCATTTAAATATTTCTGTATATATATATTTTATATTAACTTGTAGTGAAAAAAACTACAAAAGATATATGTTTTCAAGTAAAATATCAAGTAAAACATAAGTTTAAATAATAAAAAATTAACAGAATGTCCAAAAATTAAATCTAGCAAGTTTAGCATTACTACATTTATTATGGCTGTCAAAATTTTATTTTAGATTGCCATAGTTGTTAAAACAAATAATTATTTTAATTTTCCAATGCAAATCAATGATGTATAATGTGAATTGCCGCAATGTTAAATTTTACAGATTTCCTAACTTTAATTCGCCAACTCCCGATGATCTATGGAGTTTTATACAGACTGGTATAGACGATAAATTAAAAAATAAACTGTATAATCTAAGCATAAAACAGATAATGGATATTTGGATTACTCAAACGTATTGCCCTGTGGTAAACGTGAAACGAGATTATTCTGATAATCTTGTAAAAATATCGAAAGAGATTAATGACAAATTAGATCGGAAACCATATTTTATACCTGTGAGCTATGTTAAGGAAACGAACATCAATTTTGTCAATATCTCGCTACAAAGTTTCAATTGTTTAACGCAGTCGAATCCGGAAATGAAAATCAACTATGATAGTAAAGATAAATGGTTCATGGCCAACATATTACAAACTGGTAAATATTAAATAATAAAGTTAATATCTCTCTATCCTCTTATTATATAAAAAATCTGGTTTTATTACATATTTTTATTCCTACATTTTTTTACAAAAATTGTGAAACTATTTTCTACATATAATAAACATAATTATATTTTTCTAAAATATTCTATAATATTACCTTTAAATTTTAAATTAAACGTTCTTTGCATATATAAAAATATTAATTATGTAACTAAAATCTTAGTTTAAGCTTATACAATTCTGTACGCTTTAATATTTCGAAGATTTATTTTTTAATTTGATTATTGATGGAAAATGTTTACGTAATTAATAATATACAAGAAACTTGAAAAATATATATACTACCAATTTCTAGTACAGTCTGCATGCGTACTTAAAACAGAGGAAAATTAGATACATAAAATTCGAAATATTTCTGATGTCTGATTATTCCGATACGTTAAAAAAATAATCGATAAAACTTATCTATTAAATAATAGGATACTATCGCGTCAATTATGACACCGAAAATTGGCGAATGATCGCGCGTTATTTAAAATCCAAAAAATACGAGAATATACATGTTATCAATCGAGCGCAAATCATCGATGATGCGTTCCATCTTACGATAGAGAAGAAACTTGATTTCTCCATATTCTGGGAACTCGCGAGCTACTTACCGCGGGAGAGGAATTATGTAGCATGGTATCCTATGATTAAAGTTTTTGAACGCATATCTAGTGTGTTTGCATTTTCAACTCATCATGAACATCTCAAGGTAAAGACTTATTATCAATAATAAAATATATCAATAAAATTATGTTAGATATTAGGTCAATACGTATAAAGTAACGATTTCATACCATAATTCTGACAATCTTAGAAATTAAGATATATAGTTAAAGAAAATTTTAATTATAAGTTAATTATACGCTAACCTATTAATTATCTAAAGAGAAGTGATCCTTCTTCAAGTTTTAAAAGTAACGCATTACTTACAGCGCCATTACCGTTATTTTAATTATATTTTTTGATAATGTATATAACAAATTTCACAGTAATTTTTATCGTTGTTTTCGGAATCTATGTGATATGATCTCTAAATAAGCAACCACCTATAAAGAGCAACTAAATTTTTTTAAAGATCTTGATATAATTTAACGATCCTCTCCTTTAATAACCTTCTAACAATCTTAATAAGATTTGACGACTTTTACTTTAAACCGAATCATATATAATGTAAACTTTTGCTTTACTTTTTTTTCTTATAAATTTTTGTATCTTAAAAATGAATTTAAGTCGTAACTATGGTAAATTATCATGTCGGGATTTTGAATTTGCATAAAATTAAAGATGCACAAAAATATTTAAAATGAAATAGTTTAGTAAATAGGAATGTAGTTATTATTTTTTTGTTTATATATTATGATTTGTCTTTGTAAATAATGTAATATTAAAAACGTCTAATAAATAGAGAAATATTTTTTTCTATCAAATTGCAGAAAATAAAAATGTTAATGGGAAGCTTGTTTAAAGATATAGACGAGGATATGTACGATCAAATGGGACCCGCCAACGAAGACCTTAATAAATATTTAAAACAAGAACTCACGAAATGGGGATGTCTTATCAATAATTCTTGGTGCTTGAAGATGGCCAAAAAACAATTTGAATGGCATCGATCAGATCCTGAAACTAGAAAGTATGTTTTTTTTAATCATTATTTTTGTATAGGCGTTTCTTTTATATTTTGTCCGCGTGTTGAATAAATTATTTTTTAGGGACACTGTATGTATGTACTAAATATCTATAAATGATTTTCAAAAGACTAAAATATTTTTTTTCTGGATGTTATAGAGTTTTTCCTGGGTGGGAGAAATTGATATCTTGTAATAGTTTAAAGACTGTAAGCTATCGGAAATGGTTCAGTATATGGACCAACACCTTGAATATATATGAAAAGAAATCTGATTATGAAATAATGAAATATCTTAGTTGCTCTGATGACCCGCAAATTATACTTACTTACCTGAAGTTTAATTTACCGACGCTTCAGTTGCTGATAATCAAAGATAAAAATATGGATTTTGAAACATTAAGACGAGAAAAAGAACGTATTTATGCTTTAACTACTGATATTTTCTTTTCTACTCTCGCCATGCATGCTAAGAATCCTATAATACTTAAAGATATATTGGAGAATTTTGAAATAATAAAAAATAGACTAATAATATCAGATAATAACAGGTAATAACACCTTTTTTTATAAACATTTATTGCTTATAATCGCGTGAAGATGTATTATGTATATAATAATTATAAATTTATACGTATATATATGTATATTGTTTTGTTCTCATAGCAACATCAGTACGATTGCAACATTAATTGTCATTATTAATAATGTGTATTCCAAGAATGAACTTGACATGGTAAATTTTATTAATCTAAATTCAATATTTATTTATATAGTTTTGCTAATAACAAAAGATTATTGCATCTGCTTTTTATAATGGATTAATTACAATATCATTTATTAATAATAAATGTTAATAATCTATTTTAGATCAATAAATTTGCGAAAAATATGACGCAATTAATTTCGGATATTGAACGCAAGATAACAACGCGTTTGCTTGAGATCGAGAGTCAGATAAAATATTATCAAACTGTATTCAGAGAATTTTGAAATAATAAAAAACAGACTAATAATATCAGATAATAACAGGTAATAACATCTTTTTATAAACATTTATTGCTTATAATCGCGTGAAGATATATTATGTATATAATAATTATAAATTTATACATATATATATATATATATATATATATATATATATATATATATATTGTTTTTTTCTCATAGCGACATCAGTACGATTGCAACATTAATTGTCATTATTAATAATGTGTATTCCAAGAATGAACTTGACATGGTAAATCTTATAAATCTAAATTCAATACTCATTTATATAATTTTACTAATAACAGAAAATTATTACGCCTGTTTTTTATAATCGATTAATTACAAAATTATTTTTCGGAAGTATGATCTATTTAATCATTGTTTTTATATCTTGTCCGCGTGTTTAATAAATTATTTGTTAATGACATTGTATGTGTGTACTAAATATCTATAAAATATTTTCAAAGGATTAAAATATTTATTTGCTGGATGTTATAGACTTTTGCCTGGGTGGAAGAAATTGATATCTTGTAATGGTTTAAAGACTGCTAACTATAGTGTATGGTTCAGTGCATGGACCAACGCGTTGAATGTATTCAAGAAGAAATCTGATTATGAAATGTTGAAGTTTAGCAGTTCTTGTTCTGATGATCCGCGAATTATATATCCTCATCTGTGGCTTATTTTAACGACGTTTGAAACGGCGATAATCAAATATGATAAAAACGTAGGTTCTGAAACACTACCACAGGAAAAGGAGTATGTTTATGCTTTAACTGCTAATATTTATCTTTCTATTCTTGCCACGCATGCTAAGAATCGTATACTGCTTAAAGATATATTGCACTTACCTAACTTGAATAGCATAAAAAACAGGTAATAACATATATTTTTATAAATATTTAATGCTTATAATTGTGAAAGTTTATTATGTATATGTTACAATTATACAAATTTATACATATATGTTTTGTTCTCATAGCCACATCAGTACGATTGCAACATTAATTGTCATTATTAATAATGTGTATTCCAAGAATGAACTTGACATGGTAAATTTTATTAATCTAAATTCAATATTTATTTATATAGTTTTGCTAATAACAAAAGATTATTGCATCTGCTTTTTATAATGGATTAATTACAATATCATTTATTAATAATAAATGTTAATAATCTATTTTAGATCAATAAATTTGCGAAAAATATGACGCAATTAATTTCGGATATTGAACGCAAGATAACAACGCGTTTGCTTGAGATCGAGAGTCAGATAAAATATTATCAAACTGTATTCCCTCAATCGTCTTTAATTACGATAGATTCAATTACAATACGTCGAACTACAACACGTCTAAGTACAACGCTTTTAACTACAGTGCGTCCAACTAAAATATGTCCAACTACAACGCGTGTAACTACAACAACGCATCCAACTACAACGCGTCCAACTACAACACCTTCAATTACAACTACACCGACACCTTGGAATCAATTAGTTAATATGCTTTTAGGCAAACGTGGGTAAGTTAATTTTTTTTTTTTTAACTAAGTTAAGTTTAAATTTAATGGCTCAAAAATTAACTAAGTTTACGTTAAAAGTTACTTAAACAAAAATTAACTCAGTTAAAGTTAAGTTAAAAAATTATTTACTTATTAAAAAGTTAAAAGTTAATTATGCAAAACTATATGTTTTTTACATAATTAATTTTTCATTTTTCATTGTACATTTTACATTAAACTTTTTACATTTACGTAATATAATAAAAAGGTAGTTTTTTATAAGAGAGATAATACATTTTTTCTTATATAATGATTAATAATACACATTATTTAAATATATTATTGTGTAATAGAGACGTTATAATATTTAAGAACAAAACGATTAATAGAAACTTTGATTATGAGGACTTTCCTGTTTAATTTGAACCGTTTTACCTGCACATTTTATGCACCTATGTGTTTTATCTTTATCTTTAATTGTTAGGTACACTAACAATAAATTAAAACAATTTTAAAATATTTATTGAATTTTAATAAAAGTGTCATCTCAAAATTATGGTCCTTCATTTTTCCTCTTAAATCATTATATACTAAACCACCTGCACTAAACATACGCTCTAGATGTGTCGAGAATGATACCGTTGTGTTATATTTTATGAACGCACGTTTTAATGATACTGGATACTGTCTTATGTTATTATAATTATTAGTAAACAAATAATTTTTGACTACCAAAGATACAAAATTTTAACTTGAAAAAAATTAATAAATTAACATTAATGCATTTAAAAATAACTAGTTTAAATTCAAAGTTAACACGTTTAAAATTAACTAAGTTAAATTCAAAGTTATTAACTTTTTAACTTCTTAACTTAATTTTTAACTTTTTAACTAGTTACTAACTCTGTTTATGGGATAAATCTATATTAGTAATCTATATTCTATATTAATGATACGTATTCTCAGGACCAACTTATTGAGGACCAACTTAAATTTTATGAAACTCAAAAATTCCATACTTATTTTTGAAGTTTTTATTATGATATTTATCTTTCGTGTGAATATATCACGTATTTTATATTTTATTAATGTACGCGTATCTTTCCTTTTTTCTCTTACATGTATCGACATATTTATGTTAATAATTTCAAAATTTTTGTCACATCTTCCTTTTATAATAATCCTTTATGAAATTACTGATTGATCACAAATAACAAACTAAAATTTATTTTAGATAAATAAAGTTGTGGAAAATAATAAGCGATATCTATATTGGATCGTTGAACGCAAGTTAAGAATACATTAATCCAACAATAAATTCTACAGTCAGATGAAATTTCTTCGAAGTTTATTCAAAGAGATCAACATCAGCTTGTCTATTAATTGCTAAAGGTTCAACTACAACACGTTCCAAACAACAACTAAAACTGCAGAGCATCTATCATTTATAGAGCTAATATCCAATGATGTAGTCATAATATCTTATGATATAAGAAAGTTGACATGTGGAATATCTTTTCATATATTATTATGTAGTATCTAATTATTTATTATTTACATATATATTGTTCTCAATTATTATATTATATATTGTTTTTAAATTGTTTCTAATTATATTGTAAATGTTTTTTATGTTAAGTTGATTTTTATATATATTAATTGGTTTTAATATTTATATAAACATGGATTATACATGGATTTACGTAATGTTTATATACATACATATACATATATATACATATATACATATATATATATATATATATATATATATATATATATATATATATATATATATATATATATATATATATATATATATATATATATATATATATATATATATATATATATATATATATATATATATATATATATATATATATATATATATATATATATATATATATATATATATATATATATATATATATATATATATATATATATATA